GGTTAAAAAAACCAACAACTACAACTATGACTACTCTTAATCTATCATCATCATCGTCACCGTCCTGTCACCTATAATTATCTTAACAGATTTATGATAAAACATCCATCATTAAAAAAATATATATTAATACTGCTGATTATAATGATATTCGTATAGCAAAAGCGATTACTATTACCAACATCACTGCATCATCACTTATTATTGGTAAACGTGAATTTAATGATTTAAGCTTAAATCACAAACGCATCAATATTTTGCTAGACCATCATATCAATAAACAAATCAAATACTATCAAATGTAGATCTCATTAATGATAATCGATATAAAGATACAGCTGCTGAATCTTGCCTTTCGTATAAAATGAACTTGGATTGCTTGTAGAAGAAGAATTAACTAGTGATGTGAGCCAGCTAAAAAAAATTTCTCTTGACATTCATTTTTACGTCTGGAATTTTAGTGCAGAACTCAGTGGCATGGACACTTGGTTGAGATGGGTCCATCTACATTACTTAGAATAACAAAAAAACATATATTGCTCAAAAAAGGTTATAATACTCGTAGCAGGATAAAAGTAACAGAATTTCTATTAATACAAATTTTTATTCGAATTATTATTATTATTAATTATTTTTATTTTTATTCGAGTAAACTTTCAATGTAATTCGAATACTTAAATTCATAACGAATAAAACAAATAATTCGAATAAACTTTATTCAAAACTCTTAAATAGTAATAATGGCAGTATATTATAATAACAATAGTAAATAACAGTAATAACAATAGTAATAATAACGATAGTAGTAGTAGTAATAATACCGGTGAGCTTGGTACCATCTGAAAAGTTTTTCATCATTGGGATTTATTCAAGTTCTTAACCGACTATAAGAGTTGTTCGGCTTAGCCGGCTAACATCACTAGAATTAACTGATCAATAGTGTTAAAAATTGCATTAGGAACTCGTGTTGCCAGTCAGAAATTTAACTAAATCCTTTGGATCATTACACGAATTTGCAGCAAAAGAATCATCAAAATATGAATATTTTAAAATTTGCTCTTGCAAAAGCAGTTGTAAGTTACATGGCTTACATGTAATAAATAGATCATAATCTTTTTTAACGAGTCGAGAGATTGCTTAGTTCGTTTTAGTTTTAAAAGTTTTAGTTTATTTTTAATTAATTCTTTTTAGATGATGATGATGGGCAGTGCTTTATCCTAATAAATTATTTAAGTTAAAAGATAAGCCGCAATGGTGAGTGTAACGTAAATATATAGTATTTATAGTAGATTGTATAAATATTTGTCTTTACTTTTTATAAATGATAATATTATAATTGTCAATTATGATGATTATTTATAAATCATCATCATTTTCGGATTTTCCTCAAAATCTTTTTTTAAAAAAAATAGAGAGATAATAATGACAGAAAGATCAAGTTTACACGTCAAATGGAAATTACCAGAACCACCACCTCGTTCAATGTTATTAAATTCAAAAGATAATGATCAACAACAACAATACCTTAAATTAGAATTACCTCCGCCACTAGAAATAGATTTTTCTTCATTAACGGATAATAATAACAAAGATAATGATAATGATAATATTTCATCAAAGGTTTCTTTATTAGAAGATAATAACGATGATAATGAATCAACAAAAGGTTCAACAACTTCATCCACGAGAAATATTAATAATGATATAGAAAAAAATATATCATCTTTTTATAAAAGACTTGATAAAAAAACACTGTTTTGTGTTTCAATCATTATTATATTCCTTTTAATTTTAATATCAAGTACTATTGGTAAGTCGCAATCACTTATTATCATTTATAATAGTTTTTTTTTTTTGCTAACAAAAAAACTTTAATTTTTTAAAAATCTCATAGCGATTGTAATATATTCAACTGTTAATAAAGTGTTATAAATACAAACATGTAAAATAATAATTAATTACATAATATGGAAAAAAAAAAATCAAAAACTATTATTATTACTATTATGAACTTTTTAAAGTGGCAAATAATGAATTTTGCTTTTTCCAAGTAAAGCTCCAGGTTTACCAATAACCAAATAAGAACCAACAATATCACCACTAGTTATCAAAGTTTCATTAACATTAAAGAGAAATGAATCGGTACTATTGTTAGATCTAACTTTAAAAATTTTATCGAATGATTCGTTTTTCGGTTTCAAATCAAATATCTCTTTACTGGATTGATAAATTTTAAATGTGTAATCTTCCTCTTCTCCTTTCAAGAAGCCTTCACTAAATTGTCCAACAACAAATGTACCGTTTTCCAAGGTTTCCCAAAACAACAAAGCACCTTTTATTACATCGGGTGGATTGGTAAATAATGCGTAGGCACGATGACTTTTGCGGTGTGATGGTGGATGACGTGGTTTGCAGTGTTTACCTGGTTTAAATAATGACAGAGACTCTTCTTCTTTTACATTTATTAATTGATCATTTAACTGATCATTGATATATAATAACGGATGAATAAGCTCTTGTTGTTGTAGTGGTTGTGGTAATTGATTACTAACAATAATAAAATTTGTTAAAATAAAAAATAAATTGAACAAAATTATCAATGTTTTATTTTTAATCATTGTAAAAGTTTTTTTTTTTTTGAAATTTTTTATTTTGAAGTTTTGTGGGAAACTTGATAATTTTTAACCGATTTTTAATCATTGTACGTATTTCTGCGTATTGTCGAACAATATTTATTTATTAATAATCAAATTAAATGTTTTTCTAAAAATACGCCAAACAAGAAATAAAACAAATCAAGAAACAATCGAAATAAATGATCAAGTTTATTATCAAGTTAATCGATATTTAAACTTTAACACCTAAACCTAAATTATAAACAAGTATCTTTGAGACGTAATACAAAATCGGGTTTGGGAAACTGCGTCTGAACTAACAGCAAAAATGTCTATGATCATCAATTTTGTAATAATAATAAAGACTACCTAATATTATTTACATTCCCTTATCAGGTAACACGAATGGGTTCTGTTCTCGTCTTGTGACTTTTTGTTCACAAAGCCCCAAATTATTATGCATGTTCAATGATGATTGGTGGTAATATAAAGTATGTATACAAAAATAGCATGTAAATACGTAAAGTGTTATTATTGAACAAACCTTTAAACTTTAGATGTTCTTTGGTATAGTCAGAGTAAGGATGCGTAAAAAATCTGAAATTGTGTTGACCTTTTGTATATTATGTTTGATTTGGACAATTTTAATTATGAACGCATTAGTTGGCGATTTCTACGTGAAGATAATTTATTTTTTTTAAAAAAAAAATTATTTTACATGATTTCTGAATATAATGAATTAAACCAAATCAACTAAAAGAATGAATTAAACAATTAAACAAATCGTTTTTTAACATCAGGTGGTTTATACAATAATTTTATGAAATTAAACAAAAAAATGCTAGTTGAGAAAATGATGGATGGGATTGATTATTGTAGTTCTGAAGATGATAAAGATAATAACTGATGACTTGCATTACAATATACGTTACACGGATGGAGAAATCCTAAAGTTTTAAAGTATAAAACAAGCCAAAAGGTCTATTGGAAATCGCTTCACGACAAGTCGGGCCCTTGATAAATATTCAAAGATACGCAACTGAATTGTTTGAGGGGAATGAAAGGTTGTAGTTTTTTCTAATCAGGATAGGATCGTGTGATGTGAATAATCTCTTCTGTTGTTCATGATTTGAACAAAAATGTTAGTTAAACTGTGCAGAAAAGTTGTCTGTCTTGGAGATCGACTAATTGCACTAAGCGTCTGTTAAATTTATTTTTATGTCGTATCGTTTTATCAAAGATGAAGAACGACATCACCTTTTCAGAATAAGAGAGAGGTTGATATGTTGAAGATACTTTTTTCCTATTGTAATATTTGTTAGGATTTGTTCTAAATCTTTGTGTCATGAAGGAAACACAGTTACTGAAACGTACCAGCAGATTGCTGATAATTTTGTAAATTCTGCGAGCTTAACTCACCCATAATTTTAAAAATAGTCAAGGATTAAAAAATATTGCAACGAAGCCTCTGATATACCTCATTGAAAATTGTAAATAAAGATAAAAGAGGCAATTTGTTCAGGATGTCTATTGATTTATTATTGGTCACTTTTTTTTTATTAAATAAAAAATAAAAAATGAATAATATATTTAACTGCCGGAGATGGGGTTCGAACCCACGCATGCTTCCGCATACTAGATCTTAAGTCTAGCCCCTTGGACCACTCGGGCACTCCGGCCTGTGTTATAATTATAATAAAATTGTTTGATTTAAACCAAGTTCTTCGATGTCATCACATTATTAAAAAAACTTTTTTTGATTTCCTCAATCATTTTTTTATATTTTTTTTAAAATTTATTTTAATATTAATTATGCCATTAGAAGAAATTGGTAGTAATAATAGTAATGTTAATGTTAATAATAATGATGATTCTAGAAAAAATCGAAATTGTTTAGCTTGTAAGCTTGTTGGATCATTTACATTTATTGGATTGGGATCATATTTATTGTATAATGTTATCGAGAAGTCATCACCATCCAAAAAGGAAAATAATAATATCAATATAATGATGAAATTAATCGGACTAAATCCAAGGATTAAATATGCAGGAAACATTGCTCTTGGAGTTTTAGGAGTTGGTAAATAATAAAAATATTCAATTAGAAACTAGAATTTTGATTTTTTTTAATTTTTTTTAAATATATAATTCTTTTAATTATAGTTAGTATTTCTGCGGGTTTATTTCGCCTCACTCGATGAATAAATATACCCATGTTTATACCAAATATGTGGTAAAATCACCCGTATAATATTATTATTCTATTTTATATTTTATTATATTATATTATACAGAAAAACTAATAATCTTAATAAATTATTGTTGCTATTATTAATATTAAGTCTAATCAATAAATAGGATTTGATAGATAGGTTGATTGATAAATTAAGGAACTTTTCCTCCATATTTTAAAAGATTTTCTCGAGCCTTCAAATTATTATTTGTTATTATTAGAAAATATGTTTGTAAAAAAAAAAATGTGAAATATAATAGTAACGAAATTTATTTTACCTCTGTTAATGTTTTACTAGATAACATTGGTAATTTTGTGTCTTGAGAAATAACCTCATATTTAATTGGTTTTTCCTACGTTATTAACATTCAAAAAATGAGTGATTAATTAATTGATCAATCAATCAATAAATAGACTAATTGATTGATTGATTAAATACATTAATTGGTGGACATAAATCTTCCGGAAGATATCTTCCATGATTTTGAAAAAATATATCACGTTGTTGTTGTTCTTCTACAAAATATCAACATGATTATTATTATTACATTATTATCATCATCGTCATAATAACAATATCATTATCATGACTAGCATTATAATTTATGATTACCAGCATATAATCCATCCAATTTTGTTAAAAATTCTTCGGCTAATCTTTCATGCTGTTCCTTCACCCTATGTCTTCTATCTATCTCCATTATTAATTGATCATATGCTAAAGAAAATTCTTTATACCTAAAATTGTTTTTTTCCCAAAATTTTTAAATGAATTTACGTATGTAAATACGTGTAACACAATTATTTTATAATTATTTACCATGAATTCAAATTCCATAATTCTTCTAAATATTTATCAACAACCTGCGAACTTTTCTCAAATTCCATCTAAATAAATCAATATTATAATTAATAATATTAATGTAAAAACAATTTACACAAATAAATATAAATTTATTATTATTGTTATTTGTTAGTATTTACCTCGAGTTCTTTCATTTTATTGGAAAGATTTTCCATTTTTGTTGTAAATTTCTCTAATTCACTAAATAATTTTAATGCTTCTTCATATGATGATTGATATATTTGATTTCTAATATGAACTTCTTCGCTAATTATATTAAAATATGGCTAATTAATATCATAATATAATAATTATTATTATTAATGTTAATATATGTAATGTATATGCAACTAATTTTAAACCTGGTTGATTCTATCATTTGAAGTCCTTCTTGAAGATCATCCAATATCGTTGGTAATTCATCTGTATCCTTTTCAAGAACTGTTTATTATGATTACAATTAAATTATGATTATATAATAATAGTAATATCTTATTATCATTATTTAAAATTTACCGGAAATGTCCAAAAAAGGTTCAATATCTGCGTGTGATTGGTATGTTCTATTTTGAATAAAATATTATTATTATTAATGTATTATATTTGACTTTGTCCCCAATAATAATAATAATAATAATAATACTTTAATGCAGCAGCTACTTGATCATAATGCCTTGCTATGGAAACTAATGTCTCGGCCATGGAATGAGTTTCTCGTTCTTGAATATTACTTTTCTCGTATGAAAATTCCACACCAGATTCTTCAAGTGAAATTGTATTGCTTTCATACATTTCACGCAATCGTTCAAGTTGTGTACTTATTTCATCAAGTATTGACTTACTACTATTAAAGAATTGCTATTATAAAGAAAAATAGTGTATTATTACTACTATTATTATTATTAGATGTTATTATTATTAACTATTATTAATATTAACCTGGATGGTTGAAACTTCATCTTGTGTCTTCGTTTTTAGTTCATGCACACCATGCTCGTCTATATATTCATATAATGTCATTCTTTTTTTTTGATCTAAATTATTATTATCTTTTTCGCCTATTACATCAAGAACAATACTACCAATGCCACCACTGCTATTATTGTCACGTATAAATGCTTGATTTTCCATTAATATTGCATTCTCTCGGATTGCTGAATCAACCTGTTTACCACGAAGTTGTTCTAATGTGTGTTCCAACTCTTCGACAATCATTATTAATTCCTGTTCTTTATTCTAAAAGAAATACATGTGTATATATAATATTACCAATACATATGTAAATATGAACTTTCATTAAACTTTATCTTTTTACACAATTATAAATCCAATTAACCGCCCTTCTTCCATCCTTCTCCTCCCCCAAAAAAATATAAATTGAAAAGTTTTACCTACAGAATAAAATTGTCCAAAAATTCCATTTTGTTTCACTGCAACTAGCCGAAATTTGTCAATGGTCTATATATATGTGCGTATACGTATATCAAGGTATTAATATGATTGATTGATTGTTTGATTGATTGATTGATTGATTGATCGATTGATTAGTTATTATTTAAATACACTAAATATGATATCTAAATGCTATATCGTTATACAATATTTATACATGTAAAATGTTCTACCTTAAGTTGAACCACCAATTCATTCCATATAAATTTAAGTTTAGGATATAATTGTTCGATATTTTCTACATCGGTTTTACATTCTTTAACAAGATTGTCAGCTTTGGAACATAAATTTTCTCCAACTTGTAAAGCTTTTTTAGAAAGTGACACTAACTCGATCAATTTTTGTTCCATATATATATATATATATATATATTATATGCTATTATATGTGTATGTGTACGTTTATTATATATTAGCTAAACAATTTAATTATTAAAAGCTTTGCTTTTTATCTTATTATTTTTTATTTTAAAAAGGAAAAAAATAATCATCAATAAATTTTACTATTTTGAGAAATACAAGCAAGCATGTAACACAAGTCAAATTTATTTATATAGAAGGCGTGGGCGCGTAAATCACAATAACAATAATAATTAATTAATTAATTTATAACTAACTATTGTTCTTGTATAAAACCGACAGCTTGTAGCCATAATTTACTTGGATCTCTGATACTTTCGGCATCATAATAAATTCTATATTTTGCAGGTCTAAAATCATATTCCATCACTATTTCACCTTCTCCTTTATAACTATAAACTTCTTTATATGGAAAACCAATGTTTGTCTTAGTCAAAAAACCCTTTGGTACTAACTTATTGTTTGCTGAAGTAATGCCCAAAGTTTGTAAATCATCTAACATTGCTTCAAGGTTTGTTACTTGTCCACCAGCAAATGATGCATATGATAATGGTGTGCCATACAATCCCCCGACAGCAACCGTAGTAACATTCCACAGTTCTTCAAGTATTTGTGCTACATTTGCACATGAAGAACCACAAAATCCGTTTGAAAGAATGACATAATCTGTAGATTTCCAGGGAAGAGGGTTCGTATTATTTCCTAACATCTCTTTAAGTATTTGCGAGTCGGAAGCGGAGAATTTGTTCGTATATCTACTTGTCACCCCACCACGTGTTTTGAAGTTGTTGCCAATTAGATCATCTGCAGTTTTTAATTCATACAATGTTTTAGCATCAACGTAGTTCCGTGGATCGAAACTTGTTGAACCATTAGAAGCTGCTGCTGCTGTTTTAATCGCAAGTAGTGTTAATTCGGTTAATTTCATATCAACAGGATATCCATATACTTTCGAATCAGGTGATAATAGAGCAATAAAAAATCTAGCAAATCTAATTAATCCGCCACCATTATTAGAAAAATCAAGTACGACCTATATATTTAATTAATTGTTGTTATTATTATTATTATGGTCGCAAAGCTACTTCAAAAAAAAACCAAAGTTACCTTTTTTGCACCATTTGTGCTTAATAGTTGAAAACCTTTCATCAATGAATCAAATAAAATTAAAGGCGACTTTTTATCTAAAGGACTAAACCTACCAATAACTGCAACACCTATATTATTAGGTAACAAATAAAACTTTAAGACGGCCGCATCAAATATCAATACACCTTGAGTAACTTTTTGATCAAACATAAGATCTATTTCATAAAGATCGTCCATTGAAGGTTCTAATTCCTCGATGAAACTTGGACTTTTTGGCACGTTCACCAATTTTGGATCTTTTAAACAGAAAGTTTCAAAAAAAGTTTTAGTATCATTTAATCCACCACTATCCAAATCAAGCTTAGAGGCTTTCACGACCCAACTACGAGTAATTGTTTTAGTGATGACGGGAGCAGTGGGATCGGTGGCATTTGAACATTGTAAGGTATAAGTGTAATTTGCATTCTTGGGTAATCCGAAACGTCTTGTGAATTGTTCGCTGCTAATTGCAGGAGCCGCTTTAGCATTGAGTAAGCTTAAAGAAGCTAATGCCAGATTAAACCTGACACCTAAATCCTTGGAACCATTAATTTCCGTTGTTGCATAATCAATTATAAATTGAAGTGCAGGTTGATTATCGATCTGTGTGACTTCACAATCTATATTAGTTGGGTCTATTGAATCATCAAATATTTGGATTATCTAAATGAATAATTGGATTAATTAATTGGTTAAATAATTTAAAGAACTAGCTTCATTCATCATATGATTTTTTACCTGAGTTCCGTCTTGTTTTACACTAGAATATAATGACAATTTTTGATCGAATGCGAATATACTATAACATTCACTCCGTATGCTCAGATGTCCGTCCTTTAATGGACTAACGAGGTTTTGTAAATCTGTCTAAGTATTCGTTAACATAAATAATAAATAAATAAATATATATATTCATTAATACGTATTTTCTGTATATTAACTTACAAAAAATTGAAAATCTGAAGTATATGATTTTTGCAACAGTGCGTCTAGTTCAGCTATAATATCCTGTTTTGTAAATGTGAAGCCAGGTTGTGGATTTTCTTTTGATTGGTCCAAGAATATATAAAATTGGGTTAGTGTTGATTTTATAGTTTCGATGGTCTGTTTGTTTTATTATATATAAATTATAAATTATATTTATATCACATGAAAGAATATTTAAAAATGGCAATAGGTTATGTATATAATGTACCGAAACAGCAATATCATTATTATAAGGAAGACTTTCGTAACAATTTTTAACATCTTCGTAATTAATTATTATTTTGGCTTTGAATTGAAGATAGTCTGAATTAATTTTTGCACATCCTGTTAATGGATTTTGTTGAGGACCACGTGGGATCAAATATGAATTCACGTCTTTTATAATTGGTGATGATGATACTAGGCATGTTATAATAAACCAAATAATATTAATATACATAATTTTGTTTTTATTTTTTTTTTTAATAAAATACAAAATTCTGTTTTATTTATAGCAAGTATAAAAATATAAATATAAAGAAAAATTTTTTTTTACAATTAATAATAATATGAATAATATGAATAGTATCATTAGTAGCGCCATTATATTAGAATAGATAAAAAAACTATAAATGATAAGATCAAATATGTTAATATTATTATTATGAGCAAAGTTTTGTTGATTATTTGGTTAACCATTACCAAGAATAGTCAGTCACTTACAAAAAAAAGATTTACGACAATCCCACAAATCTCATCCCCAATCCTGTCCCGCTCCATTCCATTCCTCTCCGCAACTTAATTTTCTATATTAGTTGATTAGTGTTGCCTAGAAGGAGGAAGTTTGATCTTCAAATCATTTGAATAATCACCATAATAGCACGTTCTCCAGAATCTTTTATTCTAATCAATAAACAAAGTTTTGAAGTGAATTATTTTTTTTTTTAATTGATAAATATAAAATATATATAATCTTCATACCTTATAAACTTTTTTATTAAGATGTGTGTTTCTACGCGTTTGACCCTCAAACCAAACCTTTATATTTTTATTTTCCTGATTTCCAGAAATATTTGTTTTTTCTGTTGTAATTAGAATATGTTTCGCCCATCGTAACTAGATCACAAAAGGTCACTTGTTTCTTCCTAGGCTTGTCGTTTTTATTCTTATCATTTTCAACACCTGATGGTGGTGAACATTTAATTTCCACAGTATAAAGCTAAATTATATGCGCATGAATACGTATGTACATGAAAGGATGAATGATAATATTTGAGTCTTGTATTATAAATATAAATATTAAACGATTCAAAAGAATATTATATATACACTTTACATATTTCCCAACAATGTTCGATCCGAACATCAGTGGTAGATTAAAGTTTTTGTTTTCTTGATCACGTCGAGAAAGTGGCTTGTAAGTAATTATTGATTTTTCAGACATCTTGTTTAATGTAAATATATTTAATATTAATAATTTTAATAATTTAATAATAATTTATATTATAAAAATAATTATTCAAGTAAAATTTATTCTTTAGGAAAAAAAAAAAATTTTTTTTATAGATAAAATTATTATTTCACGTAAAAAAATGACACATAAAACCATAAAACACGTCCTTTATTTTTAAAATTCTACAAGAAGTATCACGTTGTTTCAACGTGTAATAATTTAACTATTGATTTCATGTACATTATGTAATTGTGAAAAAATATCAAAAAAAAATTAAAATGTAAAGTTTATATATAACATGTGATTACTATTATTACCTGTTACCATTATTCATTTATTCTAGAATATTTATTAACGTTTTCTTGGTATTTTTGGTTTAATATCATCATCTTTTACAGCGTGCAAGTAGACTGCATTTTTTGAGGGAAGTTGTGGATATTGAAGATATCCCTATATGTGTGCGTGTATGTATACATATACGTTGAGAATATCTCATTAATTAACAAAATACAATATTATAAATAGCTCATTAATTATTACAATTACAACATACTTTACTCCAATCATAGCTCACAGCATAAGCAAAAATTGCACCAGTGCTATTGAAATCAGAAGCAGTAATTGAAGTGCCAACGCTGGCAAATCCTTTAAGACGCGATTTTGAATCTTTATCCCAAAAGTTGAATGATCCATCACTTCCAGCAGTTGAGAATGTACCATGCAATGGGTGAAAAGATATGGCATTCACTGCGTAGATATTATTCCCATCTCTATGACATTTAAATGAAAATCCATTTCTAATAACAAATAGTAATAATTACAATATTATTATTATTATAAACAATATAATAATGGTAGAATGAATTTAATAGTTATTAATAGTAAATCTTACTGATTCTCTTTCTCGTCAAAATATTGTATGCCTACTCTTCCTTCAATACTTCCTATAGCATATCCAGTACCAGATGGAAAACATGTTATACAACGTGTTTGGAACTTCAAGGTACTTGTAACATCCTGTAGTAAATAATAAATCAATCGATTGAATATTAAATAAATCACTTGATCAACTAATTAATCAATCAATTGATCATTACCTTTATGTGTTGAAGAGGATTATTAAGATTATAGTACAAGAGACGTCTATCAGCAACTCCTACTACAAGATTTGGGTACATTAAATCCAAAGCATAAACACGTTCAGGTAAGTTGACAGTCATAATAGATTGTGACGATCGTAAATCCCAATACTAAACCAATTTATTATAGATTCTTCTTTATTGTATTATTTTTTAAACAAAGTAAAATTATAATTCTTCAAAACAACAAAAAAAAAAGAGTTGAATTAAAACCAATCAATTAATCAAAAGGTTACCTTAAGCATTTTATCCCAACTGGCAGTTAATATAACGTTGTTTGTATCAAGATATTTAATACACTTTATTGGTTGTTCATGTTGAGCTATTTGAATTGCTGTTTGTGTAGCAACGTCAAACATACGACCAGCATTATCGGCACCACCTGAAAATACTCTTGTACCATCCTAATCAGAAAATAGATATAAAGATATTTTATATATATATATATATATATATATATATACAGGGTTTATTAATTAGTAACACTGTACATACTTTGCTCCATGCTGAACAAAGTACAGGTTTTTCATGTGAGTACATAGCTCTTCCAGTAGTAGAGCCAGTTTGTGAATTTGCTTCATAAATTCGAACCTAAATTAAATTAATTAAAAAACACCTTTTATTGGTTTATTCACAATCGAATTTATATTTATTTTATTAGTCTATATTTGTACATTATTATCCCATGAAGTTACAGCGAAGTAATCTGCTACTGGTGAAAATGTGATTGATGATATACCATCTTGAGGTGATTCAGGAACCTGAAAATGTCATAATTTGAGACAATACATTAAAGACATATATATGGATTAATTTAGGTCTTTTAATAAAAACATGTCAATTACGATAATAACCTCATAATCTTTTGGAGTTTCATTGTTATTTATTGGTTTGCTGGAACTAGAAAAAGCCATTTTTTTTGAAAATTGGGGTTTTTTAAAAAAGAAGTGAATGGAATGATTGATTCAAGAAGCTGTCACACCGATTATTTTTGCAAACTTCTTATCGTGATCTTTGTACAACAGCAGTCAAAGTCGATCGATCTGCGAAAAAAGAAAATCACAATCTGTTGTAAAATAATAATTTAACTATAAAAGGGATTCAATTCAAATGGGCAAAATGCAGTTCTGTTACACGACCAAATTTTGATTTTTGTAGAGAAGCACGAATTTAGAAATGATTTTCTAAAAACAAAGAACGCGTGCAAAACAAGAATACCATATGGTTGGCTGATAAATATCATAGCTTTTTACTAATAATGATGGACATTAGCACAACAAAATTCCAAAAGATAACTTTTACAATGACGAACAAACATTAATATAGCTCAAAAGGTAATACAGTAGATCGGTACCAAAAATAGAGTTTCTAGAACCAAAGATGATCATGATTTCTTATTCTTTAATAAGTGTCGTACAGCAAGGTATCCAAATGCGTTTTTTTTAATTGTACGTAGCTTTAATAGTGATAGTAATTTGAATTCCAAAGTTTGTATTCCCAAAAATCGGAAGCAATTAATGTGTACAACACAAAATTTTTTTGAAAAATTCATGTGACCTCTGTGTGTATTATCCTCTAGCATTCCTTTTCGAAATCTAACCCAAAACTTTTTTTAAGAAACTTTGGAAGGAAGTTTGTTTTGTATTCTAATGTTCCCAGTCAAAGATTTTTTATTTTTATTTAAACAGTTGAGATACGCTTAAACCCTTTAGAAAATATTAATATTAAAAAATAGGGGTTGCTTATTTATTTTATTTGTTCCCAATAGAAATAAGGTGCTAATGTTTGAATGTTTAAAAAAGGAATACACTGACTGACTCTTCTATCAAATTTGATTTGATAATGGTCAGTTTGTTCAAAATTGATTTTTGGCATTCAAGGTTTTTTATAGTGGATAGATAACAATTCAGTTAAACGAAGAAATTTTACTAAAGAATAAAATAATTGCAATGGAATGGAAGAATGCTACTATAAATTCATCCAAGTAAAAGAGAAAATCCATTTTTGCCTAGGCTCTTATCAAAGTTTTTCTAGATTGAAGTCGAATGGCAAGTAATTTTTATTTTAAGCTTGAATAAAATGATTTGAACAGAGAGAATTTAAAGCTTAATAATAGTTAATGAAAAGTTTACTTAATATTAAACGATCCATCAATTTGAGCCAGCATGTGTGCGAAAGAATTACCAGAATTTCGCCATAATGCTGGTAAATTTTGACCCGCTGCTTTTGAGCATGTAATTACAACACCACGAATTCTGCTGATACCATCGTCATTATTAACAAAATAATAGTGCTTTGATTGGATGTAGCCAAGGTTGTCAATCTGAATCAGTAAGTGGAATATTCGATGACATTTTCTTGATGAATGAAAATTGTCACCTTCACAATCTTCCACTACTTCCCCCAAGTATTGAAAGTAGACCGAAAATCAAATATTTATCTGTTTATTATTTGTTTATTAATTAATAAATAGAATGACGCGAATGATAGCTTTTTATATCGTGAGTATGCAGAAAAAGAGTTGAGACCTGAGCAAGATGAATCTAGTTGCATACTCGGATAATGCTGTTAGTTGCACTCTTGGTAATTGTATGAGAGGCGGAAACATTATATATACGAGCACGAGAATGGTTCACATTGCTTTTTCAAGAATTTACTTCAACTTGAAAAGTGGCTTTAATTACCCAGTTAATATGTATCTCGTTAGCAATTTGGGGTTGATAAATTGAAGGATTACAACTTTATACCTGCTGTGCTTTGTCTTCGGATGAATAGACATCCTAAATTGCCGTCGAAGGAGGATTGAAGTGAGTATATTATCTATATTAAATTATACTATTTACATAAGATCATTTACTAGATTTGATCACAAATTAAATAAAATTCAAAAAAAAATACACCAACCAATGATAATAATGATAAAAAAAAACAACTTTTCCCCAATTTTTGACTATTCAATGCACAAATAAATATTTTATTTTTTCCCCCAAAAAAAAAAGTAATTGTCGCACGAAAATCTTTTTAACTTAAATCCTTAAAAATTATTTACATCTTTCTTTCGATTAATTAACTTATACAACAAATGCACGCGTATCCTTTCCTTTCACCCACCTTCAATTAATTATATTTAATAGAATGTCTCCACATGAAGAAGAATCTATTAATGAATTAGAAAAAAATGCCAGTAACAATAATGACAATGTCGAATATAATATAACAAATCCCACTAATAATGACAACAATTCAATTATTACATCAAAAACGAAGTTTAAAAAATTAGTTGTAAAAGAGAGACCAAATACACCAAATGAAATTGTTTTACACGCGATAATCGGTGGTTTTAGTAAGAATGAGTTTTAGTTTTTAGGATAAGCTTTAATTTGAGTTTTAGTGTTTGAGTTTAGTGTTTGAGCTCGAATATTTTTTTAAAAATACGTGACTGTAATGATATAATTCATTGTATATTATATTAATAATAAATATAGGATCTTATATAATGGCTTATGGTATTCGTGGTGGTGTGAAATTTCTACTTAATTTATTAACTGTATTTAGAAAAAGGTTAAACATAAATAATTATATTATTATTAATTAAAATTTATAAATTTAAATTTTTAATTTTAAAATTCTTTACAAAAATATTTTTATCAAGGAAAGGAACAATTTATCAAGCATTTATACGTGGGTTTTTTGGAAAAGATGCAATTAGATTTGCAGTAGGATTTGGAGGATTTTCATTTTTATGGAAATTTATAAATAATGGATTACGTTATACGCGTAATAAAGACGATAAATGGAATTCTTTTGTTGCCGGTAAATAAAAAGATTCTCTAAATAAAAATAAACAAATAAGCAAATATTTACATATTTACTTTAGGTTCGATTGCTGGTTTTTCACTTTTGGCTGAAAAACGCGAACGAAGAATAGAAATTTCACAACAATTATTTGTTCGGTTAGTAAGATTTTTTGCATATCATATTAATTATGTTTTTATTCTTTCTTCATTAACAAAAAAATTTATAATTAAATATGCAGTGCACTTCAAGCATTGTGTAATGCTGGTCGTGCCAGAAAATATTTTCGAATTCCACATGGTATTCCTTTACTATTCATGATTACCACTGGACAAGTTTTATATGCTTACACGGTAATTATTAGTAATTATGACGATTATTGTATTTATATATAATATTAAATTAAATATTTATGCTGACGAATATATTAATTAGATGCATCCGAATACGATACCATCAGAATTTCTTCAATGGATGATGGAAATTGGACGTGTTCCCAAAGAAACATTGGATTTAAATTTGAAACTAAAACGTGGTAACAGCCCCTTAAAGTTGAATGATATGATGGAAATACTTGATAAATATAAAGGAACTAAACATGCTTATCAAGTTGTTTCAAATTTACCATCAAACTCTGTTGTAATTCCCTGGTAATTATTGTATTTATGTTTTAGCGAGAACTTTGAAATCTATACGTAAAAATAATATTTATTTTATTTTATTTTATTTTATTTATTTATTAGTGCATTGATACATCCAAAGTTTGATTCGTGTATTTATTCAATAATGGACAGATTTTTTCGAGTGTTCAAAACAGTTTTTCCAGTTTATGCAACTTTAAACTTCGTGCCGATGATCGCATTAAAAATTTTACAATTTATTAAAGAGTAAGTAAAAAACAGAATACAAAAATGAAGCCTTCATCGGGAATTAGATTTTTATTAATTAATCCATCTCACACAAATACTTGCACACGAATTGGTGATTTTATTAGTCCAAAATCCCTTGTTAAAAAAAGTTCAGTAAATACTGTAAGATCAAGTCTATTTTTATCATCACTTATCATCACCTACCAAATACAAATTTGTCTACATCGCAATATTACAAAAAGTATCGGTCTAAATTGGGACTCGAAATATTTGTATTGGTTGGCTGGTGTATTCTCTTGTGCGACAATCTTTATTGAACATAAAAGTAGAAGAACAGACTTGACTCTATATATTTTACCTAAAGCTGCTGAATCTTTGTATAAAATTATGTATCAAAAAAACTGGATCTTCGAATTACATCAAACTACTGATATTTGGTTTTTCTCTGCCGCTATGGGAGTTATTATGGTATGTTTCTGATAATATACGATAGAGAATGAAAAATTAATTTCTAAAATTTTTATATTTAAACTTTTCTAATTGTTAATTATTTTTATTTTTTTATTATTGTTTTATTCGAAAGACATTTTATCAACATGAACCTGAAGTGTTAAGTCCAATGGTAAAGAAAATTTTATTCCATTTTTTTGGTAAATATTAAGGATATAAAAATTTTGGAAATGAAAATGTAATTATAAATAAAAAAAAAACTTAATTTATTATTTCTATATATATTAATTTTATTTCACATGCATTTTGTAACATTATGAGCTGTCAATTTTATATTTACTGACTTTTAAAGAAAAAGATAAAGAAATAGTATCTTTTTTCTCCCTCTTTAGTAAAACGTTGTTTAATAAGGATCTTGAACCCAATTTAATGAATGGTTGAAATGAATTGGAATCAGTAATCCATCCAGATTGGTCAAAGCAAATGTCGTGACAATCGAGTTCTTACTTTTCTCAATTATATAAAGAACCATTTTTCGAATCAGGGAATGATCGCAATAGTAATAGTTAACAGAACAGAGATAGTAGTAATAGTAACAATAATACAATGCGGATCATCTATACTCAAAAGTTAAAGTTTTTGAAATATTATGTGATCCACACATTGGATTTTAAAAACCCACACCGTTCAATTCAGCTTTAAAAAGAGGTCTATTTATCTAAAAAAAAATTTGTCTCAAATTTTCTTTTCATAGATTTTTTAAATTGAAAGTTATGCTCAGAAATACAATAATTTTCGTGTTGAATCTCACGACCAAATTTGGTAATGATTTTCTTTTAATGTAATATGTTCGTAAATAACTTTTATTTATTAATAAAAAATAAATCAAATAAATCAAATATATGTTGTATGGTTGGCTCGGTCTAAATACCTTCTATTTCTGCGCCATGCGGTCAAATTTCGTTCAAAAATGTAATAAAATTTTTCAAAAAACAGGACTTCACGTGATTTTAGTTTTCTTACTGCCAAATTTATATATATACTAATACGATAGTCAAGAACTAGTCTAAATTTGGTAATATATTTTTAAATTTAGAAATGATCATAGCGGACAAATTCCTCGCGAGCATAGTAAAGTACATGTTTTAAAAAAGAATAGAACTC